AAACATTTATTTTTCATATTGCACCAGTACAGTTAATGAGCAACCTGTACTTGTGTGCTTGTTTGTTCTGTCTAAAATGTTTATTTTGGAATAAAGAGTATAAAATATTAAAACATTTTTTTGTCCGATTCATCGATTAATCGAAAAAATAATCGGCCGATTCATCGATCTTTAAAATAATCGTTAGTTGCAGCCCTAGTTTTGTTATCTTTGTGATATTTCATTGTTTGCAGAGAGTCAGGCGAAGAAGGCAGCCTTTGGTGGATTTACCTGACAGAGTCGGCTTTAGGGAAGTGGATACCACAAACGATAGTCTAATCAGGGCTTAAAGACGCAGGAAACAATGACAGACGTTGAGGTTCCTCACACTGCTAAGCAGAATCATCACTGGAAATCATGTGGTGCGGTAGGAAGCTAGTATTTTTATGAATGTGTGAAATTTCATGATTACAAAGGCTGACTGTAAGGAGATGACGCGGTCTGCTCACGCACTCTTCGTTATCTGAAAACTGAGCCGGATCTGAACCGTGCCGAGAACTAGTACCATGTCAGCGCCTGTAGGTTGTGTCTGGTGCGGTGCGGTTCAGTTGGCGTGTAACTCAACAGTTACATTGGTTAGCATGCTCAGACCGATCTTAACATGGTTTCGAAAGGGTAATGGAAATGGGGCCTTTGAGTTGAGGTAACTACTCATGTTACTGTATCCATTCACGAAAATGTACAACTTATATCCGTTAAACTGGAAATGATTCATGCTTTCAACTCAATTCAGTCACAGCTTATACCTAATTATTTACCAGCTGTATGTTAAATTTAGTACAACTAATTGAAATAACTCAGAATCCTGCATAATGTTTTGGAAATGTTCTTTAAATATGAGTCTTCACGTCCTGAGGAGATCAGCAGTGATGTTATGAGATGAGCAGAGACTTCGAGATGTGTGTCGAGTAATGGAGGGGTCGTTTCCCTGACGCGCGAGTCGAGGCGTGATTCATTTAGGGGAGGGGCCAAAATTGATAAGGTCCGAAGTCTCGCTACGGTGATACCAGGTGACCGCTTCAGGAAGTGGATCAGAAAGCACAGGAACTTCAACAGGCATTTAAACAGCCTCAGTATTCAGTCCAGATGTGGGAGTTTGTAGGAGAGCTGCTGTCAGGTGGATAGATTCTAAGAACAGATTGGTTGGAAAAACAACCAATCTAGTTGGTTAAACCATTTTAGCTAGATTAAACAATATTTTGATCAAAATCTGAGCAAGCAGTTGGAAAGTCGTAACTTTAGTGTTAAGTAGTATTACTCTCCATTAAACAGTTTATAATGTTAGTTGGGTCAGCTGTAAGATGCTGACTTCCATTCTTGAGGTTGTTGGTTCGAGACCCACCTTTGACTTTTAAAAGTTGTAATTAAACTTAAATATTTTGGGCTGATTTTACTCATTTGTATTGGTTTGCCCAGGTACAAATATAGAATGGGTAAAAACACTGCAAAATTAGATTTGTTGGTTTAGCCAACAGATTGGTTGAACACAAAACTTCCAACTGGATTAAAACAAAAAAACTGTGGAAAAACTATAATGTTTGTATTAAAATGACTAACACCTTTCATTTTGCTCATCATTGCCCAATTTGCACAAACACTTTCACTGTCTGTTTTGACCTTATTTTTACTAAAATGGCAGAAAAACTGTGCACCTTAAATATTATTCTCTTCTAAGACATTTTACAATCATAAAAAAACTTTATTTATTGTACAAGCCAATCATTATCAATTTCAAAGTAACTTAAAAGGGGGAAAAAGAAAAACTACTGCAAAAAAAAAAAAAGCACCATCATCTTACTAGATGTAGTTCTGCATTCCACCAGTAGGTGGTGACATGTTCACATGAACTGTGGGGAACATTGAACCAATTTGGCTTCAACATCAGCCTCAGAAGATGACAAACCACAAGCTCTAACACTGTGGCCAGCTTGGAGGCGTCAACTAATAACTGTTCTGCTGTTCTGAGCTGGGCTTATGGCTAAAGGTTCCTGAACCTTCTTTTATGGTGTTGGTTTTTGGCAGTGGTGCAAAATAACAAAGTATATTACCTTAATTACTATATTTAAGTACTTTTTTTGAGTATCTTTACTTGAATCCTTTTTCGGAGGGTTCCTTATAACTATTCCTGCACTACATCTCGAAGTCAAATATTGTACTTTCTACTCCACTACATTCCAAGGAAGCTGCTGGTTACTTCATCCTTTAGGCTCAGCTTAGCTTTGAAATCCACTGCTGCGGTTTTTCTTTCTTTAAATGCAGTGACAGCATGGCAGATAGCAGCATCTGGTACAGCTGAGCACTTCGTCCACCATTGGTTTTCAGCGTCTCCCGACTGCATATTAAGCAACAATGGGCGGAGTCACAGAGTACTGAACCTGCCGCCTTAGTTCTTGATTAGTGGATTATGTAGAAGGACAGAATGGGGTGTTTTCTTACCCCTCCAGATCATTTTTAGTAGGCTAAATTGTGATGCAGTTGATATATTTTTTACTTAATTTACGCAGTTTTTGCTCAAGAATAGCTGAATGCCAAGACACCAGGTAGCAAAGGTCCTTATATGCTGACAAAAAGTGACCATTAGTGACTGGTCCAGTAACACTAATGGGCTGGTGTATGCATGGAGGCCGTGTATCAGTGCGCGTGTCGTTTCCAGAACAATCATGTGATACAGGAGTTGTTTCTCACTCACTCAGTCACTAAAATGTTTCACTTTTTGCGGTTTATCATTTAAATGATCGATAACTTTGAAACAACCTAAAAGGAGCCTTTCAGCCGTTGTATTTTAATTTTCTTAATTTTCCTCTCAGTCATCACTAAATTCAAAAATCACTTTAAGATGAATCATTCATTCAATAATTTTGATTTGGTATGAAGAGCAAATTGTAAACTAAAATACCAAAAACTGGCAAAGCTTTTGAGATATTTCCCTGTTTCAGTAAAGGGGTGTGGCCTATCATCACAGACTCCGCCCACATTGATCTTAACTGCAGCACCATGACCTGAAACGCTGTCAGCTGGATAGAGGAGACAGTCTCATGTCAGGGAATCTTGCTCTTTTGTGTTTTTTTAGAAGGACTCCTATAAAAGGAGTCCCACCATCAATATGTTGAAGACAAACTAATAATGTTTCTATCTGCTTAAGAGAAATCTTGTCCTTATTCACTCTGAGTGTCTGTAGGCAGCTGATCACACGCCATCCTGCCCCACCAGGAGTTAGAGAGAGCAACCTGAGAGGGATCGTTCTGAAGGGTTTTCATTTTCCACTTGATAAAACAAAGAACATTAATGATTATCAGGATGGTTTAGCTTAAATAATTAAGCTTAACTGCTGCCTTAAAAGTATGAGTTAACTTTTAAGAAAAGGTTCCACACAACCAGGGCGGGCCGGAGGCATAAGCGAACTAAGCGGCTGCTTGATCACCAGGAGGCCCCAAGTAGGAGGGCCCCAAAATGTGCTCTTTATCAGACGATATTGTCCCAAAATTTAGAAAATTCCTATTTAAAATTTGAAAGTGTTTGTGCAAATCGGGCAATAATTAGCAAAATAAAAGGTGTTAGTCATTTTTATTTAACATAATAGTTT